ACTGTTTAGCACAGGGCTGGGCTCATGAACACCAACTAATGTTTGTTGAAGGGCATCTGACATAAACAAATGAACTCTGGAAAGACCAGTCAATAAGGTGAGTGTGTAAGGAACCCTGGGCTGAGGGGGATGGAGCAGAGTGGGTGAGCGGGGAACAGAAGAAGGTGTGCATCAGAGTGTGGAGAACTGTGTGTATGTAAGCTTCTTCACAGGAAATTCACTGTGGAGTTCCGAGAACTTTTCACACAGAAAAAAGCAATGTCGTCCTCTTTCCTTTCTAGATAAGTCTACAAATGTTTATCTATAGCTGAGACTGACTCACAGGGTGGGATCAGGAAACCACTTACCAGTTGCTGCTTTTCCTTTTTCTTCTTTAGAGAAGGCAAGAAAACTGTCAAAGCAGATGATGCAAGAATGAAGCTGACTCAGAAATACTCAATCCCCTCAGGAACTTCTCCAAGAAAAGGATTGGCCATTTTATTAGCTCCCATCTGGAGGCATTACATTGAGACCACTAAGAATCCCTGGTGATTACGGCCACAGGGAGGCAAATCCACACTGTAATTTGCTACACTGCAAGAATATTTAGTTTTCAGTAGACAAATTAAAAATTCAAAGGAGATAGAGTGATAATCTTAGAGGGAATTAGTGAAATGGGGTGGGAACAGACAAGGCAATGTTGGCGTTCATGCAAATTACAAACGACTTTCATCGTTGAAAATCGGTCACATTTAATGGATGGATTTTTTTTTTCTTAAAGAAAACACGTTACCATCATCTACTGTGAAATTGAGGGAATGAATGCACCAACCTATGGCATCCCTATACACGTGATGTTCGCTTTCTGCACATGAATCTGCACAACTGTACAATGGAAATGAGCATTTAGTCCAACTATAGTGTGTGCCAGGCACTTTCCAAACACTTATCATTGAATGTGAACCACCACCCTATGAAAACAGGTATTTAGACCCCAATTTTACAGATGAAGAAAGTATTAGAACATCTGGGGCAGGGAGGAAGAGAAGAGGACATGATCAGGAAATAAAGGGCAAAGGGAGCTTAACCTGGGCAGTAGGCTCACAGGTGTGTTATATAGCCTCAGAGAGGTTAAGTAACTGACCCCAAACCACACACCCAGACAGAATTCTGTTTAGAACCAGGACATCTGCAGTTCTTCTAGGTTACTTCTCTGAAGTGGTTCAATTTAGCACAGAATCATAGTAGGGTACAAAATCTAGAAATAGTACTTGAATACATTGACTCCAGAGCCAGACTATCTTGTGACACTCTCTATACATCTATTTTACTGTGAGAATAGTCTGAATTTCATATTATTATACACAAGTGGTGGAAAGCAGGGCTGTTAGCATCAAAGTCTACGAAATTGATCAGGATCATTGCTTAGTCTTCAGCCACTTTTATTTCACCAAGGGCTGATTAAATAAACATTTTCAGTCTGACCCATGACTTATAATTACAGCTGCAAACTTAAGGGCAAGAGTCTTCTGACCTTGAGATGCTCTTTATGCAATAATACGTACTTCCATTACTTACTGTGGGGGGGGTGTGGGAAGGTGGAAGTGGGAGTGGAGCTGGAATTACCTTTGACTGAGCATCTGTTATGCACCTGGTATGGTGCTAGGCATTTTCCATGTGCTACTCTATTCAATCCTGAGGGATATTGGTGCACTTTAAAAAAAAAAAAAAGAGTTTTTATGAGGATGCACAGATTAGTAAGATATATAAGGTCAGCAGGGAGCTTACATGTAGGCGGGGAGAGACAATAATACAATACAAAGCTCAGGTGTTACAAGACAGAGGGGAATGGGAGTAGTGATGGCAGTAGGGGGAAGGAGGCTGAGGGGACTTGAGATTGGGTGAATATCTGCTTGGATCAAGGTTTTTAGACTTGTTTTTTGAGGAGGGAACCAGGGACTACTTTACTTCAAAGACCTTTTGGTTAACTTTTTCCTCAAGCAGGAAAAGGCCCTGGGGAAGACAGCCTCTCTAGCAAGCATGTCCCATGAGGAAAATCAGCCACAGTCCCTGGAGCTGAGGCACAAGGGAGGAGGAGATCACCAGCTGGGGGCAGGCAAGGACTGATGGCTGAGCAAATATTCAACCCAACCCTAATCTTGGGAGAGAATCTGCTGGTGGGAGTCTGTAGGCAGTGGTAAAAAAACTAGATTCTTCAGGAGATGTTCAAATGGTCAGTTCTAATTATAACCACACTTGACAACAGGTGAGGCAAGATGAAATTTAAAGACTGAGAGGAAATGAAAATTCCCCAATCTGTCAACCAATCTCCAATTTTCTCGACTATTTTAGGACTATGGTAATTAGCCGTACCCCGAAGACAATTTTACAAAATAGATTCCTCTGTCTCTAACAGGCCCACTCTAGCAATTTAGTCTTCCTGTCTCATGTATAAAATGGAAATAAAATTAAAGTTCATGAAAAGTTAGGGTTAGAGATTACACAACAGTTCCTCTTAAACCATGTCTCAACTCCCAATATTAATAACAAGTGGATGTCATAAAACAGTACGCAGTGAACATTTAAAGGAAACTAGAAGTCTGAGATAACAGCATTTCCTGATTTCAATTTTTAAAAACTGTGGTTAAATGAGAATGATCAAATGGCAACTCAAGTATATAATCTTGCAGAATTGGCTCATTTGGCACTGAGAAGTAAACTTTTTCACCTCTTTTACCAGCCCTTTGAACAGTTTGTTTAAGCTACCAAATATGTTCCTATAAGCTCTCCAGAACATCTTGAAGTCAGGACTCTGCAAGTTGCCTCCAGGGCTAAGGTATCTCCAAGGCTGACCGTCCACAGGGCTTACTACCATTCACTCGACACCGATCTTTTCTGCAATTGAACAAAGCCGTCTCTGTGGACCTTTTTATTTAAGCACCAAACTTTCTAAAATCAGTGTTAGAGCTGAAAAGGAACTCAGAAGACACCTCACCCAACCTCACCCTGACCGAGCAGAGGACGAGGAGGTCCAGAGAATGGATTGTACCGTGAATCACTTGCAAAGTCAGGACCCAGAACCAATCCTCCATACCAGGGCAATTAGGTTTATCAAGAGCGTAGCAGGTGCCAGATACTTGACATTTACTCTCATTCAATCCCAAGAAGGCAGTGGCCCCATTTTATAGATGATGAAACAGATTCACAAGTTACGTAACTTGCCAAGTAGCCCAGTAAGTGACAAGGGCAGGAATGAAACCAATCCTGTTTAGCAACAACACCATGCTCTCTTCACTGACTCTTCAGGTCAAAAACTTCCAGACTTCAGTGCTCCTCAACCAATCTTAATCCATCCCATTTCACATCTCCATCAACCCAAAATTAAATTCAAAGCACACGAAAGCTAAGCCATCTATCACACACGGTGTCGGTTGGAGAAGCATACTGCTCAGGCTGCAGGGACATTTCATTTGTTTAAATGTTTTTATTTAAAAAAAATTAAAGACCTTCATGGCACAACTTCTTCCCAGCACAGTTATGTTTTAGTTATACCAATTACAATACAATTACAACCAATAAATCAAGGGGGCGAGGGGGAACTTCTGACTTCAAACTTAAAAAAAAAGGGGGGGAGCCACTTCAAACAAAGTTAAAAAAATACTTAAAAAACCTTTCAGAGTAATTGCCAACACAACTGTCTTATATTGGCATTCCATTTCCTGCCATCTAATCAATGCAGACACAGGTAGTGCTGAGAAATAAAGTGTCCCAATACAAGGTATACAGATGAGGTAATTTACAACAACACAGAAGTTGTTACTCTGTAAACCCTTGCCCCCCCCCCCCCCCCCCAACTGGGTCTTCTTTTTTTCATGCTTCTGCAGTGACTCCTTAAGTAGCATTTTAAAAACTTCTATTTATTTTAAAAGGTTCTTGGGTGGCATTTCAGAGTCCTCTGCATTCACCTTCCGTCTCTTGCAAGGTCTGATGTGTTTTTAGGAGGTCCAGCTGTCTGCAGCTCCCCACATCAACCTCAGCCACAACATTCTCTGAGCTCTAAGGGTGGGATGTGAAGTCTCGATTTACAACCCTCCTCCCCACCTCAAAAGAAAGAATTCATTAGTCGTAAGTGTCCTGTTCAAATCACAATCCAGTGCAAACGTAATCACAAATTGCATCTCTGGCACATCCGGTGCTTTTAGCTTCTGCACAAATTCAACATGGTAACCCCCACAGCATTCTAGGGCATAAAAGGGTCAAGAACAATAAATATCCACTGTTAAGTGGCCACAAGAAAGAAAATCACCCTGCCACACAGGGTGTGTGTGGCATGTTTTCCCTATGGTTGAGAAGCATTATAAAAGGAGGCTTTAGCTTCCTCTAAAGTTTACCGTTATATTCACGAAAGCCACCACCTTGATCAAGTTACTAGAGCCAAGATGGGTTATAAAGTTAGATAAGTTCATTAAATTCAACTCGTGAAACAATTATGCTTGTCTATGGCGCCCAGGCGAGAAAGGCTTATGATCTATAAAGGTAGGAGAAAGGGGAACTAAGACTTTAGGCCTTCAAATATGTTGGAAGAATTTTTCCTAGTTCCCACAAGCAGCTACTGTAATGAAACAGGAGAAATACAGAGCTGATGGTTTTGCTATTGTGCTTAAAAAACTAGGCTTCCTCAGTGAAGCACCTGATAAACTTAGGTGGTTGGATTACAGTGGAAAATCCACTTTACACACACACAAACACACAAAAACTGGCGACTTTTCCATCCCCAATCCCTGCACTGCTGAGACACAAAATGAGTTTTATGGCAAAGGATCCTTAATCCCCAGAGACGCTTTGGCTTGTGGTGCTTTTTTAAGGCCTCTCTGCCCTGCCCGGTACCATGGGTCGAATGAGGGGATGTATAAAAATGGGGGCCTTGGGAAGCCTCCACGGTACAGGGTTGCAGGCCCCTCAGATGTGAACGTGAGACACCCACCCAGCGAGACCTTTACACAGGGAACTTAAATCTAACCTTGATAAATAAAACCAAACGTTTATTTACACCAAAGAATTCCAACACTGGATCTTTCACATATGAAGGACAAAGTATTATATATATACACACAGCAAGGGGTGGCAGGGCTGTAACAAGAGAGTTTATAGTTTTCCCACAATTACAGGTCTACCATTTCAGTTTCACTGGAGATAGTGGCTCTGCTCCTACCTCTCAGATACATTTACAAGACTGAGGGGCAGGTCTTCTCACTGGATGGCATGTGAAGGAAGGGGAAGAAAGGAAGAAAAGAAGGTAGAAAGCTTAAGATGAAACTCGGCGTGGCCACATCTTCCATTAGCTCTTAAAGAGTTGCTAGCATGAAACCTATATAGACAATGTTTTTCTTTTGTAAAAAGCAATAAGTTAAGCCCAGTAACTAACTGAATTCAAAATGGCCAAGTCAAAGAAAACTGAAAAAGAATTTTCCTCTCCCTCCCCCCAGCTATAGAGCACATAGGGAGACGACAGGGGAGAGGGCCAAGGTAAGGAGCCCAGGAGGGAAGGTATTATAATCTTAAACTGAACTGGAATTAAAAGTAGAAGTGAGCTGGATTTAGGGTTAGGTCAATAAGACATGATTCATACTGAACAGACGTTTTCAGGACCTGTCTGCACTTTGGGTAGATTTTCAGCATCTCAATGAAACTAAGACATATTTCCACGAGATTCACCAGGACAACCCCACTGAAGCACTTGGAGTAGTGTGAGAAAAGTGACCAGCAGTACACTGCTCTTGTAGCTTGGGCCCTCCCTTCCTCCTTCCTTCCCACCTCCCTTGAAGAAGCTAAAACATTTTTGTAATCTCTGGAGAAGAGCATGAGATATAAACCCCCCATAGTGTGGGATGGTGGGGGAGCAATGGTGGACATGGGAAGATATCTCCACCCAAATGCAGCAGCCGGGATTGAGGCTGGTTCATCTTTGTTCTTTAGTGATGAGAAACTGAATTTGAAAGGGGGGGAAAATTTTGTCCGTGAAATATTCCACCTGCAGGTAATTTTTCAGGGAATCCCCTGAGTTATGAAAAGTTCGAGTTAAAAAAAAGAAGGAAAAAAAAAAAAAGAAAATCAGCCTATTATAATTTTTTTTTTTATGACTGAACTACTATAAATCCACAAGCAACGGTTCAGACACGGTGCTTCTGAAGTATTTCACCCCTCCCCGCCAGGCGCAAGCTGCATCAAGGAGAGCGCAGACTCCCCCACCTCTGCTCAGGCATCAGGAGACAGAAGGGGCCATTACTGTTGAGCGCCTGCGGCAGCTGGAACAGGCATCCCAAGGGGGTTGGCCGCAGCAATCACTGGTGAGCCTGCCAGAGGTCCAAGGGGTGAAGGGGTTGGCACTGAAGAAATCCCTAAAAGAAAACAGCTAATAGTGAGCCAGATATCAACCATGGAAATCTTAGTCACCAGTTTTACATAATACCTATTTCAAAAGTGACACAAGTTATTTTTTCTCTCTCTGTAATCTCTACACCCAACATGGGGCTCAAACTTACAACCCCAAACATCAAGAGTTGCAGGCTCTTCTGACTGAGACAAGCCAGGAACTCCACGAGTGCTTTTTCTGAAGGCCTCTACTCGCCCAGATTTTTACACATTAAATCTAATTTCAAATTAAAATTAATTTCTAATCGATTTAGGAGACAGGTAAAGAAATCCAAGCTTGGAGAATTTAAGAAGTCTGTACAAAGGACACAGCGAGTAAGTGGCAACTATGCTTGAATTAAAACTGACGCCTGTCTAGGGCAGAACTATCCAACCAAACTTTCTGCCCTGTAACCTCTGTTAATACAGTGGTCACTACCCATATGTGGCTACTGAGAACTTGCAATATGGCTAGTGCAACCAAGGAGTCGTGTTTTAAATTTTATTCTATTTTAATTAATTTAAATAGTCACATATGGCTAGTCATGGCCCTACTGAAGAGCACAAGGCGGGAGCCAAAGCTCATGCATTCTTATATCATGCTGCCTAGTTAAGCTGGCAGCTTTCAAAATTATCAAGTCATTTTCAGTGAGGAAATGCTAAAATAGTGTTTTAGAATTTATTGCCATTTATTTTTTTCTACTCATCTAATGACCAGAATTACCCTCAATCTGTCCCCCTCAATTATCCAGTTAATTTTCAAATTGTTATATATGTATTTTTTTAAACAGGTAAATATTCACATGGTACAAAATACCAAAGGTTCAGAAGAGTGTATAGTAAAAAAATTTCTCTTGCACTTTTGCTTGGCCAACTTATGGTACCATTTTTGGGGTGTATCCTTCCAGAAATATTTTATGCATATACATGAATATAACTGTGTAAGAATGTGCATATAAAAGTCATATATAAGAATATGATTATATAATTATATATTATGTAACTGTATAAGAATGTGCATATAAAAGTCATATATAAGAATGTGATTATATAATTATATATTATGTAACTGTATAAGAATGTGCATATAAAAGTCATATATAAGAATGTGATTATATAATTATATATTCTTGCCCTGGTCTTGGACATGGTTCTGCATTTTGCTCTTTTCATTTCACATTATTATTTTGGAGTTGGAGCTAAAAAAGAACATGAAACGCTCATTCTTTTCTTTGGCTATACAGCTTTCCACTGAATGGATGTCCCATAATTGATTTAACCAGTTTCCCACTGGGAGCTGTTTTCAATGCTTTGCTATTACAAATAAGCCCTGGATATGTATCATTTTGCCCATAGGCAAGATACCTAGAGGATAAGTTCTAGAAGGTAGCCAGTTCTTAAAAAAACAAAAACAAAACAAAACAACAAAAAACAATTGTGACAATTCTCTGAGGGTGTCTGAGTAAATATACTCACTACCACAAGTACACCCACATGGATGTTGCCTACATGTGTAATTCTTAGGGGTTGAGCCTATGTTGGCTTCCTTTACAAAATTGTGTACTCTGTACAAAAACTCGCTCTTAATTCACGATGACTCAACAATAATGAATAATTTCATATAAGCCTTTACAATTTACTAGGCACATTACAGATGCTCTGGAGAACGATTCTTATGCCTATGTATAAACCCCACCTTTACCCCCACCCCTAATTTCTTAATCTTGTTTGTGAGGTTCATGCAACTACTGTCACTCTAAACTATGAGATGAAAGGATCTCTTTTTACTCTTCATGGTTTGTTGGGACTTTCAAGTCCCTCTGTGAAAAATTTTTGGGACTCTGGCCTAGAAGAGACTGCTGATACCATACGCAGTGTCACTAAAGTATACCAGGTGTCAAAAAGCATGCTGAAGCCTGGTGAGGAGACCACACAGGTCAGCAGTCAGGAAGATAATCATTATGGAAAAGAGAAGGGCCACAAGAAACTAGGCCACAAACAGGGAGCAAACCTAAGAATAACAACTGACTTCTACTTTTGTCCCCCCAGGAAAGTTACCAGTGAACTAACCTGACATCATATTGGCGCTGCTGACAGGCGTACTGCCCCCCGGCATGCTAGATGAGCCCATTCGAGCCTGGTCCTTCACAACAGTATCTGGAAAAGACAAAAAGGGTTAGGTTCATGACACTTGAAGGTAATGGTCTGGGGCCTTAAAGCAGCCATCCTCAATCTTTGTTACTTTATTTATAGTCTATGTTATTCCAGAGGAACAGAAGGTGGCAAGAGCCTTCACCATGAATTAGACAAGTAATATAAAATAGAACTATCCTTCCTGTCAAACTGTGACAGAAGCCAACTCTTAAACCAAATTGTTGGAAGATGTGGTAATTATCCACAGCAGAGCTAATTTAAAACAAAAATGATCTTGTTAGGTTTTTTTTTTTTTTAAGATTTTATTTATTTGACAGAGAGATACAGTGAGAGAGGGAACACAAGCAGGGGGAGTGGGAGAGGGAGAAGCAGGCCTCCTGCCAAGCAGAGCCCGATGCGGGGCTCGATCCCAGGACCCTGGGATCATGACCTGAGCTGAAGGCAGATGCCCAACGACTGAGCCACCCAGATGCCCCTATCTTGTTAGGTTTTAATGAGACAGTACAATCTATCCTGGCCAAGACAATAATATATTATCAGACTGAACTGCTTTTATTGCCGTTCACAGCTTAGCTGTCAAGCATGGTGCAAAACTGGCCAAAGCTACAGGTTTGTGCAGGTTGATGCTATGACCAGACTTCATTCTCCACTTCAATCACCCTGTCAGTTTGCTTCAGGTACAGAAGACTGGGCAAGATTGTAATCAATTCACTACAAAACCAACTCACCACCCCCCCAAGGAGCGATCCAACATTGAGGCTAACATCACAGTGAGGATGGTGTGGGACTAAGTGGCATTTTCACCCAGGACAGCACAGTTAGCTATGCTCACAAACCTAGGTCATGGTGTTCATATGATAATATGTTCAAGCCTCCTTGGCCTTCTCCAATGAATGAGTGCCAGACAAGGTCAGACAAAGGGCTGCTGTTCTAATCCAACCACTCCAGACTCAAAAAGTGTCACCCACACGGGAAGAAAAGCAGTTTACTTGGGAGTGATCATGTGGCAGATACTCTTGTTAGAGAACCAGAAGCCTCCCAACAATTCTGCAAGACAGATGCCATCACTAAGGGCAGCTGGGATTTCAATTGTTGGGCCCAGAGCTTACTTCACAACACATATTCTCCCCCGCCTTGTAGAGTCGGCTGGGTGGGCCTGTACAAGCTTTGTGGACTGGACAGTTGGACTCACAGAAATAGGGGTGCTCCATGGCCTCTCTTGCGGTAAGCCGTGACTGGTGGTCATATCGCAGCAGCTTGTCCAAGAAATCCAAGGCCTCAGGACTGACAAGGTGCTGGTTTTCACTGTGGACAAAGCGTTCCCATCGCTTACGGGAGTGTCTGTAGAGCCAAAGGGGGAATGAGAAATGGACCGAGGGCCACAGAAGCCCAACATTTCACTTCTACATTTTCTTTAGTGGCTAGCCGCCCAGCCACTAGCAAAGAAAGATCAAAGCTCAAGAGAGTAGGTCTTGTACCACTCTGCCACTAGGGAGACAACAAAACTAATTGGAGAGACTGGAAATAGCAGTGTTGCAGAAAAGAGAAATCTGGGTCCTCATGATACTACAAAACGTAATTCAGGTTACTTTACAGGATTAAGTGCTCCTGTGTAGCAAAGAGGTCAGGTGCTGGGTTAATCAGGCCTCTTTCCCACCCCCACACAAATTCCTGACATCTCTACCACTTGGTCAGCAAAAGCCTTTTCATCAGGCAAGTCCACCTCCTCCAGTTAAGTGGTTAATGAATTTGTATTTTGTCTAGTTCCTATTGTCAGAGTCGACTGTCTGCAAATCAGTCTTGAAGAATGCATTTCCTTTTTCTATTACTCTTAGGGTTTTGTCATTTGGAGAAACAAGCTAAATCAATAGATTTTGATTTTTGACTCAATTGTAACCCTTCTCCTGAAACCTACAATTTGTTCACTGACAGAATCTGCCAACCATAATCTCTACACTCAGACTCCTGGTAAGTGAATCTGGGAAATGGGCCATTCAGTTCAATGCTTGTACCACAGGCCTACCCATGCAACACCCTGCATCACCAGACCAATGACACACTTGCAGTGTTGGCAAAGAGAATGTAATCTATTTTGAGGATCCGAAGTATCTGTTTACAGCCAAGTGCTTAAGGCACAGAAGCACAGATTTTATGACTTACCTGCCCAAGATATCATTGAAACGTGGATCTAATTCAATGTTGTATTTGTCAATATAGTCATATAAATCTTCTGTCCCCAGAACCTTGGCTATCCTCACCAACTAGGATCAAAAAGAGACAAAAACACACACCACAAACACATTACATAATTAAGTCAACCAGCCATAAGTGAATTAACAGAAAAGGGTAGCCATGGTTAAAGGTATGAATGTGAACTTGTCCCAACTTATTTAAAATTTCTGGGTGCCTGAGTGGCTCAGTTGGTTAAGCATCTGCTTTTGGCTCAGGTCATGGTCCCAGAGTCCTGGGATTGAGTCCCGCATCAGGATCCCTGCTCGGCGGGGAGTCTAATTCTTCCTCTACCCCTCTCCCCACTGCTTGTGATCTCTCTCTCTCTCTCAAATAAATAAAATCTTAAAAAAAAAATTTTTGTGGGGAGCCTGGGTGGCTCAGTCGTTAAGTGGGGGCCTTCAGCTCAGGTCATGATCCCAGTGTCCTGGGATCAAGCCCCACATCGGGCTCCCTGGTTAGCAGGAAGTCTGCTTCTCCTTCTCACACACCCCCTGCTTGTGTTCCCTCTCTCGCTCACTCTCTGTCAAATAAATAAATAAAATCTTTAAAAAAAAATTGTGCATGGCAAGAAGGGATTTCCATATAAAATTCCCTAATTATTACCCAATATGAAGGTGCAGGAAAAAAGCAAATGGTCTTATAACTTTGTTCCTTCCCCCTTGAAATGTCTTCCTGGTCAAGCTTTATTTCCCCCACCTCACAACCCAACCGAAGATGTCACTTCTTTTGGGAATATGCTCTTGTACATTCAGACCACTTACTCCCACTAACTGCCTTTTGTACCTGTCTACACCTCTACTCTGACATTTATGACTGCAACTTATCTCCTTACATGTTCTCTCCCTTACTGGATAGACTATGAACCATTTGAGAGAAGGGACTATTCTTTTCTTTTTTCCCTGTGTTCCTCAATCCTGCATGGTCCTGACAATAGAGTTACTGATTCAGGTGGTATTCTTTGACTCATTAAAAATGGGCATTGTGCTCGAACAAGGCAACAGTACCTTCCACAAGGTCTTAGAATCATTCCAGGTTCTCTTGAATGAAATGGCCCCTTGATCTTCAAGGGGAAGTGGAGCTAGTATAAAAAAACACCATCTATATTTCTACTGACAAACATCAACTTAATCCATAAAAAAAGACAAAAGGATCATAGAAACACCACATATAAACCAGTATATTGGAGGAAACATTCCCAACATATTGGGGAAAATAATGAAAGCTCACCACTAGGAGATTCTAAGGTAATGTTCCATTTCTTAAACTACTGTTCTTTTATTTGTATATATGTTTTATGAAACAATTTACATGTGTATTCACAATAAAGCAAGCACCGCACATTAAGAAGAATAGGAGGAAAAACTCTGATTTCAAAAGGCTAAACTGGTAGCTCCCAAAATACCACTCTGAAAATCAGTGTCAGCTTGGCTGAAGAAGTGATAAACTGAAAATTATTCTAGGGGCCCACCCTAAGAGATTCTGAATCAAGGGGTCTCAAGTGGGGGCTGGTCATCTGTATTTTAACAAGATCCATAGTAGTTTGTAATGGGTAGGCAGATCTGGCCATCACTAAGTTAGCCCAGTACGTTCCCTAATGGGAACAACATTATCACCTGATCATAATTATCATGTCCGTGGAAAAATGGCTCCTTCCGGAAGATCATACTTGCCAGCATACAACCCAAACTCCACATATCCAAACTATAATCGTACATCTGCATTAAAGTAAAAAAGTCAGTTATCATATATAAAATAAGAGTGAAGTATCTTTTCAAAATAAAAATTGCTCTTTATGCTTAAAAAAAAATATATATATATACACACACACACACACACACACACACACTACTCCACTGACTCAAAATCCAAAAACCAGTAACACCCTCATGTATTTTCAGTCTTTTTTTCTATGCCCCCACCCTGTTTCAAAACAATCTGTATACTATTTGGAATTGCTTTTCCACTTACCTAAGGTCCCCAATTGTTAGAGCCCATGTAAAACTTTTAATACGTAGCATTAATAATGCATAAATGTTCCAAAATTTAATCTTTATCCTATAAGACTGTGTTTTGTTTTTCATCACCATTATAAATAATGTTGTATAGAATATTTTTATGCACAGAATGTTTTTTGAATTCAGGCTTATAGTCTCAGGATTCCAGAAAAGCAATTTCTAGGACAGAGTCTGAGCTTTGTAAGGTATCTGATAATAACACCTGGGAGGACCAGTCATGAAAGGTAGTCCCAAGGACTTTGTTTTTGTGAGGAGGAAGAGGGTTTTTTTCCTTTTTTTGGTAAGCAGAAGGTCTCTTTAGAATACAATTTAGGAAAATCATAAGAGAACATTTTTGAGTTTACCTTAATGTTGGTTAAACCTAGCTCACAATTCTCAAACTAGCTCTGGAATTTCTGATTAGAAAAAGTATCTTTGGCGTTTCTTTTCTTCAGTTAGATCAAATGCAGATCTAGTCTTACTCTCCTGACATTATGACAATAAAAATAACATAAGTTATGATGGATGAACTGAAGTGATTCATATTTTACACTCATGAAAGGGACAGCCATGTATGTGCATAAATAGCCTACTCAAAGGCACGAAATGACATTTTTCACAGTGAAAATTAAGTGAAAAACACAGGACTGAAATTTTATCTGCCCTTCTTTTCTCACCTGATAGTCTACAAGTAGCTCAGGACCTTTGAAGTATCGGGAAGCAACTCTGACATTATATTCTTGGCCAGGATGGTAAAACTCAGCCAAACCCCAGTCTATTAGTCGTAGCTGAAAGAAAAAAAAAAGAAAGAATAAATCATGAGTAATTTTATCTTTCAAGCTACCCCTCACACTGTCATCAGAGTACTCTTAAAAATACCAGCCATGTCACTCTCTTAAACATTTCCAGTGACTACCTAGTGCATTTAGGATGAAAATCAAACTTCTTGGGGCGCCTGGGTGGCTCCGTGGGTTAAGCGTCTGCCTTCAGCTCAGGTCATGACCCCAGGGTCCTGGGATTGAGCCCCACACTGGGCTCCCTGCTCAGTGGGGAGCCTGCTTCTCCCTCTGTCTCCCCCCACTTATGCTCGTGATCTCTCTCAAATAAAATCTTAAAAAAAAAAAAATCAAACTTCTTGGCTTGGCATACAGGGTTCTCCATGATCTAGTTCCTGTGCTCCAGCAAGACTTATAGTTCCTAAAAAACACCATCCCAGGGGCGCCCAGGTGGCTCAGTTGGTTAAGCGACTGCCATCGGCTCAGGTCATGATCCTGGAGTCCCAGGATCGAGTCCCGCATCGGGCTCCCTGCTCAGCGAGGAGCCTGCTTCTCCCTCTAATCCTCCCCGTCTCATGTATTCTCGCTCTCTCAAATAAATAATCTTAAAAAAAAAAAATCCCATTTTGTAATTCTGCATCCCATTTCTGTAATTCTGTTCCTCTGACTAGAATGTCGTCCATTGTCTAAGCTAGACCCCTAACTGAACATATCCCCATCTTTTGAGATATTCAGGTTAGCCCTTCAATGAAGTCTTTTCTAAATTAACCAAGTAGAACTAATCCTTTCCTTTAGCCCCCTGAACCTCAAATATATTTAATAGAATCTACAACTCTTTATTGTGTATTTGTTTTCCACCTTTTTTTTCTATTATGCACTGTAAGCTCCTTGAGGGAAAAGACTGTGTAATTCACTTATGCAATTTTTACAATTCAACAAAATGCCCAGTATGCAGAAGAAAAATATTTGTGGGGTGCCTGGGTAGCTCAGCCTGCTGGGCATTCAACTCTTGATTTTGGCTTGGATCATAGTCTCAGGGTTGTAGGATTGAGCCCTGCATCAGGCTCCATGCTCAGAACGGAGTCTGCTTGTCCCTCTCCTTCAGCTTCTCCTTCAGCTCCTCCCCCAGCTCTCTCTCATAAATGAATGAATGAATGAATGAATGAATGAATAAAATCCTAAGAAGAATTTGCTGAGTGAATGAAGGGAAAAGCCACACAAACAACTCCTATCAAAATGTATCCACAAAATCAAAAAAGAAGTAGGCAAGCCCAAGAGGCAACCTTATCTGTCCACTGTGCAAAGCACAACAATGATCTGAAGTATGAGCCGTAGGGCCTGAGCAGCGCCTGACACTCTGGCACCAACTCTAAGTTCACTGTTAACTAGGTACATACAGTGTTTTCCCTGTTTCAGTAATGAAGGGAGATGTAACAAAAGGTACAAAAGAAAGCATAACCTTTGTTACGCTTTTTCTTTTTACCCCCTTAACATTAGTGCCCCAGAGCTCCCTTTGACTTTCTTTTCTTATTATCAGCAAGTACTCCAGATGACCATTTCTGGTCTGTGGCTTCACAGCACCTCACAGCCTTTTCCACTTATACTCTCTGGCCCATGCCTCCTGTCCCCTGACTCTTGCAATCACCTAACAGACACATCAAAACTCATTTTTTTTTAATTTTTATTCATTTGAGAGAGAGAGAGAGAGAGAGAACAGGCAGAGGGAGGCGCAGAGGGAGAGGGAGACGCATACTCCCCATAGAGCTGGGAGCCGACTAGGGGCTTAACCTCAGGACCCCGAGATCATGACCTGAGCTGAAGTCAGTTGCTTAACCGACTGAGCCACCGAGGCTCTCCAAAACCAAACCTTTGATTATTCCCTGCAAACCTGCTTCACTCAGCCTCTCCCTTCCCAGTTAAAGGTAATTCTATTCATGCTGTCATTCAGGTAAAACATTTTCCCCCTGGATTCTTGTTTCCCATACACTGTACTGCAAATCTGTCAATTGGCTCTACCACACTCTGCCATCACCACCTCCTGTCTGACTTACTGCAATAGCCGTTTTCCTAACTGGTCTCCTTGCATTCACCCCTGTCCTCTACCGCTGTTCTCTACAGAGCAAAAGCTTTCATTTAAAAACGATCATAAATTCACACAAAGTTGGAGATGTTCTGTATATCCTTCACCCAATTTCCCCTAATGGTAACATGTTGCATAACTACAGTACATTAAAACCAGGTAATCGATATTGGCACAATTCAGACAGACCTTATTTTCCAGTTTTACATGCATGAAGGCATGCAGTTCTGTGCAACTTTATCAATGCGTAGACTCACAGAACCTCCAGAAGATACACAACTGTTTCATCACCACAGATGTCCCTTGTGCTATCCCTTCCCCTTCACTTCCTAACCCCTGGGGCAACCCCTCTGTTGTCAACCTCCAATTTTGTCATTTTGAAAATGGACTCAGTGTAACTTTTTTATTTTTTTTTAAAGATTTTATTTATTTATTTGAGAGAGAGAGAATGAGAGATAGAGAGCACGAGAGGGAAGAGGGTCAGAGGGAGAAGCAGACTCCCTGCTGAGCAGGGAGCGTGATGTGGGACTCGATCCCGGGACTCCAGGATCATGACCTGAGCCGAAGGCAGTCGCTTAACCAACTGAGCCACCCAGGCGCCCCTCAGTGTAACTTTTTATGACTGCTTTTTTCCCCTCAGCATGAAATCCAACAAGCTGTGCATTATCACTAGTTCATTCTTTTTTCTCTTTAAAGATTTATGAGAGAGAGAGAGCACGCTTGCGAGTGGGGGAAAGGGTAGAGGAGAAGCAGACTCCCCGCTGAGCAGGGCTCCCAATGTGGGGCTTGATCCGAGGACCCTGAGATCATGACCGGGGCCGAAAGCAGACACCTAACCGACTGAGCCACCCAGGGGCCCCAATCTGGCATTTTTCAAAATGGCTGTGCCACTCGATGTTCCCACCAGCAATGCATGAGATCAAGTTTCTCTGCATCCTTGCCAGTATGTGGTATGGCCACTTTTTATTTTAATTGTTCTAACAGATATGTAATGAATTTTTTAAAATGTGAGAATATGTCAATTTTCTGCTCAAACCCTGCAAAAAAGCTCTGCATCCTCAGAGAAAAGGCCTGAACAATGATCTTTAAGGTTTTACATGATCTGGTTCTCTTTACCTCTTTGATTTCATTTTGTTCCTCTCCCACCTGTTCATGCTTTCCAGCTCTATCTGTTCCAACATGCCAGGCACATTCTTGCCTCAGGGCCTTTGCACCTGCAATTTCTTCCATCTGGGACACATTTGTTTTTGTGATTACATGGCTGGCTCCTTCCAAGTGTTGTTAAAACGTCACCTTCCCAATGAAACCTTCCCTTTACAACCTTGTTTAAAACCACAGTACCCTCCACCGTTCCCTATTCATGATTTATTTCTCTTCCACATCACTTTTTAAAAAAAAAGATTTTATTTATTTGAGAGTGTGCAAAAAAGCACGCACATGTGCATGAGTTGGAGAGGGGCAGAGGGAGAGGGGACTCCCCACTGAGCACGGAGCCCGAAATGGGTTTGATCTCAGGACTCTGGGATCATGACCTGGGATGAAGGCAGACGCTTAACCAACTGAGCCACCCAGGCGCCCCTCTTCCACCACAACACTTTTAACTTTCTATCCCACCAGCCTCCCACAAATGCAAGTTTCCTATGGATAAGAATTTTTTTTGTCTATTTGTCTCACACCTACTACATCTCCAGCCTCTAGAACAATACCTATTACATAGTGTGAATCTAAAAGAATTATTAGCTGATGAATAAATCAACTATGTCTCCAAAGTCTACAATGGATAGCCATCTCTGCCTACAAAAGGTGGGCTTGGTCACCTTAAAAAACGGACTATAAAGCCATGTGGTCAGTGCAGCTCTATTAAAAGCATCTGTAGAGTTCAGGGACCTCATGACACCTGCAACTAAGCAGCAGCATTTTCTGAATATTTTATCTGTATTACAACTGTGTATAGTCAATTCTCACAATAACCTAGTGGCACACAAGTCTATTTACATTTTACAAGTTAAGAAAAAGGAAGCAAATGAGAAAGGAGTTTCCTCAAGAGACTAGTTATTTAATAAATGAAACCAGAAGCCAGCTCTCTTGCCCAAAGCTAATGTTTTGCCCACTAATTGGTTTCCTTCCCCCCTTTTTTTCCCAAAGTAAGCTCTATGCCCAACGTGGGGTTTGAACTCATAACCCCGAGATCAACAGCTGCATGCTCTACCAACTGAGTCACCCAGGGGCCCCAAATGTTTCCTTCTTGATAGTATTCTTAGGAATATGAATATTGACTTCAACATTCTGATTCATTAATGAGTTCATTCACTTACCAAACATTTATCAAGTGCTTAACAGGTAACAGCGACTGTGATAGATGTTGAAGATGGGCTGATAACTCTATCATACAAATAAATAACACTTGGCAGTCTATCACTTTACCTTTCTGTGCTCATGATCAATCATGACATTATGGGGCTTCACATCTCTGTGCATAATTCCCATGCTGTGACAATAATCCAGGGCCTGTAGGAGGAACAGGTGAGAAAGAAAGAGCTTGCTGAAAAGTGATTTTCTTAAAGTCATCTTTTTCCTCCACAGTTTTCCTTCTAGCCTCACCCCTGGGAGTCAAGGTTAGGACAATCATTCCCACCCTATTCTTCAGACACCTGTTCAAGATCCCATAGTCAAGCAAACTCACAGCCTCTGAACTTCAAGTTCTGTTCCTACACTGTTGTTTCAACTTCCTTTCTGTTCAAAAACACCCAAGGTGTATACCAACTGCATTACTTCCAATCTCTCCCCCCTTACCCAAAGGCTGGATTATTTTCACAAACATAGGCCCCTCAGAAGAAAACTGGTCTGTCCTATAAACCTCTCACTTGAAGAACAGTAATTCTCTAGCAACTAAAAGTCCACAACAGAGGCTGGCAAACCACAGCCCATGGGCCAAATATGGCCTGCTGCCTGTTTTTGTGAATAATGTTTTATTGTTAACACAGCCATACCTATTTGTTTACATATCGTCTCTGGCTGCTTCTCTGTTACCACAGCAGATATGAGTAGTGTGAGAAAGACCCTATGGCCCACAAAGACAAAAATTTTACTGTTTGTCCCCTGTACCTTATTTATGACATCAAATCTGATTTGAAAACCATGTCCAATCTGAAACTAGGGTGAACTGAGCGGCATAACCTTTGGGGTTTGCTAATCCCAGCCTTCAAGCCAGCTGATGTCACTGGCCAAGTTCTTGTCCTTCCTGAAGGGCAACTTGGGTTCTTATGGTTCCCAGGGTTAGACAAGTGTATCCCTAACTTTGTGAGGTCCTACTTGCCACAATACTGCATGAGCCAACGGAAAGATCAAATATCTCTGCTGGCATGGTCTCTTTAGGGCACTACTAAGGTTCAAATGCAGGCTTTATGGCAACCGTCATTTGGTAAGAAACTTTAGCCACCTCGTAGCAATTTTCTCATCTATAAAGCTGATCTTAATGCTTATTAGGAGCAAGATAATTGGTGATCCCACTTTAGAAATCAAAGTCCACTCTCAGTCAGCAATCTCTTAAGAAGAGATTTACATAATCCTTAGGATAATGACCCTTTGAGGGTTGAGTTAGTTTACTGTTTCACTTGTTGAATTTTAAGTATACCAGAAGCTAGCATATCAGAAGTTATTTTTGTAAGTTTTGACAATTTAATTGTTAACTTTCAAAGGAGGATGACAGAGAGAACAAATATTTTTTAAAGGGGTCCCAGATCACTTCTAAATGCCGTTTCCAAAGCATTCTAAATTACATTCCTATTAGACCCTATTCCATAATGTTTACATTACCACACGGGCTCTGATGCTATTAACTTACTAAAACCTTTTATGAGGAGGCCCCCTTCTTTCAACATACTTTTCAAAGGTAACTCACTGGCTTTTCCACAGTTAATTGGACTATTTAAAAGAAGGAAGATCAAACTAAAGATATTTAGTATTCCAGGTTCCCTTACCTTCAGAATCTCATACATGTAAAATCGAATATCATAGTCTGTTAACGTCTGGTACAATTGCTGTTAAAGACAAATGCAACATTTGAGCCATGAAAATAATGCTGATAGGAAGGCAATTTCTCATCTTTGTAGTAATTCAAACCAAGGCTTGGCTCATTTGCCACTGTTCCAAGATCTGTCTGTTCACTGGTCTCTACTTCTCCAACAGAAAATTTGCTTTTTAAAGGAGATACTCTGGGTCTTTATATGTAGAAATGAAGACTTACTTAGACTTGTATCGCTCAAGCTATAATCCACTTCTGGATTTCAATTTATATATGCAACATGCATTGATGTTATACACTTGCTACAGTCTGCTTTTCACTTATCTCCAGACCTTCTCATACAAGGCATTTTGGCAAATATACAACCTCCTCCTTAGTAGGGAACTAACCCATTTTTGGCTTACATAGTTATAGGCACTGTGGAACAGCAGTGGGTATGCAAGATGGCTTGCTGACAAATCAGTCAATTTAACAGAACTATTCCTGTCCCAATTTGAAAGTAAACTCCAAACAACTGTCACGTATCCTTTCCTGGTTCCAAAAAGTTGCAGATTTTTTTTACATCTACGTGTCATTAAATGGTTAGTGATATCCTCTGACAGTTTTCCTTGAAGTTATTGTTCTGATTCTAAAATAGTTCTTTTTCCTTCTCTCAGTAAAGGATTCACCCATTTATTGATATGTAACATTCTTAATACTGGACTGGTGCAGAGGCCAAGTTAAATACCTTTACAGCTTGTAACACAAGAAAGTGTCCATATTCCTGTGCTGTATACCTGTTTGGTGTTAAGAACTATTTGAAATAAGTAGGCCACTGGATGGGATGGATGTCAGAGATCTATTGTAGAGGTTTGTATTATACCAGAATTTACACCACCCTTCTCTACCCACCCCCTTTTAAGATCTATAGCCCAGAGTTTCTGAGGAATCCCAAGGTATAAGCAGTCCTTGTTTGTACATACAAAATACCTTCCTTCTTGAATAGTTGTTTTAAAGTGAAATGCCCTACAGCCAGATCCTGACTGAACATGTGCTGTGGCCTTTTATTAGGTTTGATGTCTGTAGAAACTGTCAAACGAATGGTAAAGGTGGTGAGAAGTAAATGTATTGGTAATTAAAAAGAGCACAAAAACAAACGAAAGAGCAAAATATATCAAGATGTGGGAAGTGGACACTGCTTGTACAGGAGTTTCTCTACCTTAAAATTTAGCACTGTAAGGATGAAAAGCTCTTTTTAAGCAAGTCAGAAGGAAGCTCTTCTAACAGTAACATCACTAAAAGGCTTTCTATGTGGTCTAAAAACCCAACACCTTGAAATGGTTATGTATTATACCTTGAAGTCTGTGTTGTTTACGTGTTCAAAAACCAAGGCAGGGGTTCGTGACTAGGGGAAAGAAAAAGAAAACACACATTAGCAACAACCCTGGCAGCTTTAGTGGGCACAATGTTTGCGGATACTACGTGGTGAATTTGGTAGTCCTTGCCTCAGTAGTAGGAAACCCTCTACTGCTACAAGCCCTCCCCACTCTGATCATCACCACACTTAGGTCATTTTTGGGATGGATTTCAAACAGAAGACATGGAGCTGAAGTCTCACCAGGCTGTAGGCAGCCCGACAATGCGCCCATCGCCCATCGGCATCGGACCTGAGTTTGCAAAATGGATTAACACATTTCAGTTTCCAGTGCTATCAGTCTCTTAGCCTAGAAGAATAAGAAATAGTCTGTGGGTGGAGGTCTCTTTGAAAGAAAGACCCAAGCTAGTTAAATGGTATAACTGATTAAGCACTTTTAAAGCAGGACTTAACGGTCGAGGGGGGAAAATAAAGAGGGCAGTTGTGCTCTGGGTCAAACACCAGCTCAGCCCTGGTGGGCCTTGCCAGCGCCTACTATACTCACCACAGGGTCTTTTACAATGTCTGCCAGTGTGATGATATTGGGACCGCCTCGTAAATTCTCCAAAATCTTTATTTCACGCTTGATTTTCTTCTTCTTTACTGGCTAAAAGGATAAAAGTATATTAGTGAAATTATTTCAGAGTATTTCAATACGTAATGTAATACATAAATGGCTTACTTATGAACTCTCTGAAGGAAGGACATGTGTCAGTCTCATCTCTGAATCCCCTTCTCCTAGCCCTGTGCCAGCTATTCTGCGGTACTTAGCACATGTAGAACTGAAAGGAAAATCTTCACCCCAAAGACCAGACCTCTGCAGAACTAGCATTTAATTCCAGTTGTCAATCTTAGCACGTTAACTTTTTAAAACTATACAAACTAGGAATGTAAATGGTAACACTAAGATCTAGCTTATAAAAATCTCTTTGTCAATCAGGATGAAGAATGGGCTCTTCCCATTCCTTCCTCTAAGTCTATAAACACCCTAGGGGCGCCTGGGTGGCTCAGCTGGTTGAACCTCTGACTCTTGGTTTTGACTCAGGTCATGATCTGAGTTGTGAGACTGAGCCCCACGTTGGGCTCCGTGCAAACCGTAGAGTCTGCTGGGATTCTCTCTCTCCCCCTCCAAAATATAATAAATAAATAAAATCTTAAAAGAAGTCAGGACCAACAGCAAGGATGGCCAAACCATCTTTGTGCAGCATAACTTTGTGGGTTAAATGCTGGCTGTGGAGTCAGACTGTGTAAGGTGAATCACACTGTCACTACATGCTGGCTGTGTGCCAACAGCAAATTACATAAGTTCCCTAAGCCTTTCATTATGGGTAAAAATGATCAACAGGAGTACATATATCTGAATATGGCTGGGATATACCCCATAATATCTGTCTAGCTTTATTGCCAATATTCCTATAAATGAACCCCCCTCCCTCCATTTTAAAAAGACCACTCTGCAGAGCCCCTTGAGTATATTTTCCATGCGCCTTTGTCCTCATCCATCATTTTTACATCTATTCGCATACAGACATCCTTTTCATTTTTCTGAGGAGGGCTTTGGTCCAACTGCACTTCCTCCACAAAGCCTTCCTTCTAAGTAGCTAGGGTACTGCTAGTCTAAAAGAGATACAATGCAAGCCACATGTGTATTTTAAATGTTCTAGTAACCACATTAAAAAAAGTGAAAAGAAACAGACAAATTTCAATATATTTAACAAAAACGTATCCCAAATCTTACCATTTCAACATGTAAATATAAAAAATTACTAATAAGCAATTTTGTACTAAGCCTTTGAAATTGAGTATATTTTATCCTCAGCATGTCAATTTGCACTAGCCACATTTCAAATGCTCAGTAGCCCCATGTGGCCCATGTATGTAGGTCTTTCCTAGGGTGTCAGTCACCTCAGACTACTGATACACTGCGTATGATTCTTAGAAATTGTTTTAAGTATGTATCATCTCTTCATCAACATTAGTGGTTACTAAACTTCATGATCAACAGTCACTTGGATTTTTAAATAGACAGTTTCCTAGGTCCCACCTAGAACTGCTGAATCAGAATCTTGAGATTGGAGCTAGAGAGCAATTCTTAGATACTTCCTAGGTTGATACTCCAGGTCTAGGAACTACCAAACCGAATTGTAAACTTGTAAACTCTTGTAACCTCGTCTTAAGTCCTAAGCACGTGGTACAGACACAAGCAAGCAAGTCTTGGATACAGACCATCCTCAAAATCTGGCTTTGTAGCTATGCAGCTTTGGGAAAAGCACTTAAATGTTTCTGAATTTACACTTGCCTTGAAGAACTGTTGTAAACACCACAGTCAGAACAGGGGCCAATTCAAATTAGACAATAAATAGAAACTGTTACTAATAGAGACTCCCACAGTCCACATTTGATTCAATCCACAGCTCTTAGCCTTGCTATCAGAACTCAATACACTCTGACTGGGAAGCAGGCTAATTGGAAGTTTTCTCTTTTTGCTTCAACTATCAGATCTTTAACATCTGCTAGAGTATCTGGGAGATCTTTCTACCTTCCAGGGACTAACCCATCAATCTAGCCTGTTTTCTACTAAATCACTATTTCCCAACTGCCAGTTTTTTGGTGAAAAGCTACTGGTTTATGAAACTTTCCTCCTTAAAATCTATAAACTTACAAAGCTGGTTTGTGATAGACCAGACAGGTGACTTAAACCCTAATTTAATGTGATCAACACAACTATTCTGTTTTAATACATAGGTGGGAGAGATTAAGAACTTTAAATACAGTTTATGAATGAACTTCATCTATACTTATAACCATCTATAAAATTACAGTACAGTTAGGAAAAGACTGAGCTGAAAAAAGTCTTTTCAACTCCCAGCCCCCACTCAAAATACAATTACTCCCAACAACCTAGAAGAGATAAAAATCACGTAACTTTTAAGACTGGAAGGAAGTGCAGAGATATTTTCTAGGTGACCACCAATTTAATCTCCCTTTCCAAGTTCACCTCCCCTGTATGGTCACTTGACATCTTCCACATGAAACAGTTCTCACTTGTTTCTTCCTCTTTTCTTATCTTGTGCATTCTAAATCACACTCCCCTCTTCTCCACTCCCACCCACACCTATTCACATCCTCCTTCCCTTCAGGGACTGAAAACAGCTCCTGGGACCTTTTCCTGACCACCACCTTCTTCCGAACTGTGAAACCTACTGTTTGTGCCTTTTATGACTCTAGATAACCTATCACTTTATCATATCCCTTTCCATGTAAGTATCATCCTACAGTTACACAGAAGTTCAGCCTCCAAAGTGTTATTTCTATATATAATTTTTTATTTGATCCTCATATCAACTCTGAGAAAGACAGGGAAGGCAAGATTATCTCATTTGCACAAATGAGCAAACATCTTAGATAGTTAAAAGGACTACCAAGGTTAATTACTTTTAGAGTTTGGATTAGAATCCACATGTTGTGATATCCAGCCTACTTCTCTTTCTACGTGTGATAAGACAAATACTTAAACTTTCTGTTTCCCATACAGGTGTGCCATGGCACCACAGCAAATTCACGGGGGCTCTGTGAAATTTTTAATTTTTGAGGGAAAAATCGATCAATACCCAGTATCTGCCAGATACAGAGTATACTACCAACTTGAGATAGTTCATAGTTTCAACATTAGATTGCACTACATTCCTTTTGATGATGTATTTTTGTGAAGCTGGGTTTTTAGCCGCTGCTGTGATAAAAAGCAAACACTGTACAAAAATCAATGTTGAAAAGGAAATGAAGCTTTGGTGTCCAACTTATTCCAACATTTGAGAAACTGTGCAGTGATTGACAGGTGTATGTACATATCCCAATACTAATTAATTATGGTTATATAAGAATAAAATTGTATCTTTCTTTCAATCTATGTATGTAACATTTTAAATGGCACCCAAGCTAAAATAAACACTTTGTTATTTGGACTTAGCTACTTAAAAGTTACTTAAACAAGGCGCCTGGGTGGCTCAGATGGTTAAGCGTCTGCCTTCCGCTCAGGTCATGATCCCAGAGTCCTGGGATCGGGTCCCACATCAGGCTCCCTGCTCCTTGGAAGCCTGCTTCTCCCTCTGTCTCTCTGTCTCTCATGAATAAATAAAATCTTTTAAAAAAAAAAGTTACTGAAACAATATGGGTGGCTATCAATTGAGGAAGTCTGGGAACCTCTACTTCTCAGTGTCAAATATATAAAAGTTCCCATGGCAAGGAACTATATGCTAAGTTCCTAGCATCTGATATTGCACAGTACAGTTATAACTAACTTACAAGTTGCATATTGGTAGCCTTTTGGCCAAACCTGGCCTGTGGAGCATTTTTAAAAACTCTTGAGGCAACATTTAACAATCAGAGTAATTTATATATAAATATAAATTTCTACTTTCTTTTTGCAAAGAGTATCAAGTAACACTAGACTTCACTACTGCAAAGCAATTAGCCGGAGCACACACCGCAATACCCATCACTCACATCCCCCAATATGGGCACTTACATCAGACTAGCTGCATTGACGGCATCTGCCTGCCATTTAAAGGCTTTCATTTCTGACTCCTTATCCTTACACAGAAGAAGTAACAACTTCTTGAAAACAAAAGGATCGACTGTAACTAAAAATCTAGGAAATCAGTATTAGGCAAGACCTAGAAGAGAGAAGATTGAACCTTTACTCCCTTCCTCTATCACAATCTAGCTGTATGACTTGAGTCAAATCACTTATCTTGCTTCAGTTTCCTGATGTGTCAAATAAAGAGAACCTCTTCTAACAATTTCACAGGATACAATAAAGATGTTAAAGCACTCCAAAAACCCTTTCAAATGCTACTTTTAAAAAGGTATTTTAAAAAAATTTTTAAGTACTATTACTTAAAAAAATCTGAATTCCAAATATCTCTGAAATTATACTCTCTTATACTCACCTTGAGAATTTTAACAACAACTTTTTCATTATTTGTGATGTTGATAGCTTCAAACACTTCACTGTATTTACCCCGGCCTAATTTTCGAACCAGCTGGTAGTCATCTTGATTACTGTAAACAGAAAGACTCAAAGTCACAATGATTTTAAAAGTTCAAACTATAGGGCACTAATTAACTTTAAAAACTCTACTACCAGGAGGAGTAAAAGAAATGAAAGGTACTTCAAATAATCTCTGTACTTTAAAAATTGGGCCATTGAATAAAAATGTGTGTTCCAAGTCCTAGAATTACAAAAACTTAAGCCTTTCATTTATTCTTTCAAATACCAAATTGTTTATATTTCTACTGGCATAGCACACATACCTAGCTTATATTAGGGTTTGTTGTGTTTGTGTCCAACAACAAACAGCTTTCCCTTAGAGAATAATTTTTATATATTCCTGTCCTCTCATGCCTGGCCCAGCAGAAAGTCAATATGTATTGTAAGAATATTTCAATTCGGGCGCACTTTGGAAGCAGCTAATTTTTAATGGGCCTTTTTGCAGATAAGTGGCTTTCAACATATAGGCTTAACCTCCCACTTGCCCTCCAAGGCAAGCCCTGAGAACAGTCCATGTAGTGGAGTTTGCAAATCACACCACAGATCATGAACCATAATAAGGTGTCCCTTCCTCACTTTTACCCATATTCCAGGACTACTAGCATCATCAGAGGTAAAAAATAAGGGAAATGTCAACATTTTCTCCCTGCCTCTGATTACAACTTAGATAACGTTGCTTTAAAGAATGACAAACATGGTCCTTTTCATAAGGTCTAAATTCTATTTACTCCTGCTGGAGACACTGAAAATCCAAATAACAAATTAGCCATCCATTTTCCTCAAGCAGCTAAAAAGAAAGTGAATGAACAGATAAGGCAAAAGGTGGTAAGGACAATGGACAATGTATTAAGGCAGGTCAAGGGGAAGGAAGCTCTTAGTTGTGGTTGAATTCTCCTGTGGGGTGGGCACAGAAAACAAATGCAAGCAAGCAAATTGCACCATGCCAAAAACTCAAAAGGGTTGTTGAGTGTTATTTAAGCACAACTAAGTGCAAAGCACTCAATCTGAAGAGAGTGGTTGAAATTTCCTTAGCAAAACACAGGTATTCCTAGAGTCCAAAGCCTGTGATATGAGGGGAATTGTTAGAATATCAATTATGACATTTATTGATACCAATGGTTCTTGATGGTATCTTTGAAGCAAACTGCCTCTCTGTGCAGAGGCAATGCACTTACTGTTAAAAATCCTGGTCCCATCAAGCTGACAATACATCCTTATGCCAATTTTGGGAGACTACCTTTAACCACTTACAGGTTATGTACATGTGAACAGACATAAAACATAGCATATGGGAGCTGTAGCTTTATGTGTTTTCAAATGCTTTCTTTGTATTTCATGTCAAAAGGCTTTTATCACAATAAGTATGACCTGATCAATTAACTACATACATGCTGGGACAACAGATGCAAACATCCAAAAGAGACTGCACAGAGAATGAGGGGCAAACACAGTTGTTCAGGTAGACTGCAACTGTTCAAAATGGAATTTGGGCTGAATTCCATGTTACACATGGCTAGCCTCGTGATAAGGGCAAATGCTGATAAGGGTTTAATTTTCCTTCTATCATAAAGAGGACGTCTTTGTGAGATCTGTTTCATCCTTCAGTATCATCATGGGACGACATTCTCTGACCTCAAAAATATTTTATGGAAGAGTTTGGTGTTTTTAAAGTCTCTCAAGTATTAATTCTCACCTAACTGTGAAGCCCTTAGCTGAGATGAGCTGACAGGTAACTCTTTGTTATCAGCCTTTTATCCAGAATATGTAAGTCCAAGGAAAGAATAAGAGACGGAAATAATTTTTACATGGTAAACCCATCAAAACTCTTAATTTGCCAAAGCAATACCTTGCTTCTCCACTGCAGAAGTAAACACAAATCAGGTTTCAATCTTGAAGTTTATAAATGCACAGTCAGGAAGGATTCCTGATACAAATTACTCAACAAATCCACAAGAGTCAGCCCTTTGAGTGAGGACAGTGAAGTAAAAGGAAACAATTACCCCCACTCCACCACGTGTGACTCATAATCCCAGTACTCTCGGGGTCTGTGTGTATTAACATCTGTGTAAACTCTGGCCCTGCTTGGCACGGGTCCCGACATGTCAGACAGGTTGGCGAACGAAGGTGGACTTGATGTTTGGAGATCTGGTGGTCACTGTGTTCAGAAGCAGCTGGGGGTAAGACCTTGTTTCAGACCTCTTTTCTTTAAACTGCGAACACAAAGTGCATAAAGGCCAAGGTATTATTTTTTAAAAGCATATGAGAAGAAGAAAAAACCATCTTACAATAATGGCCTCAAATATACCTCTGGCTCTTCTACCTATTAACCAATGACTAGGTCCCAAATGTGTTAACCACAGTGTTTCCTATAACTTGGAAAGAATATAATAATAATAATAAACCCAAGACACTTACTTAAAATTAAATTGGCCCTAATTGTACTCTGCAAAGTAGCTTGTTACCTCCCCATCTAAAGTCTGGATGTTCTTTATAAGATAGCCTGGAAGGGAAAAATGGCATCAAGGATAGACCCATCAACATTACTACCATTTACACAATCTACACAAATTACTGGCAAGAACAGCTTTCTACAGCTCAAGTAGGAGTGTTAAAAGGTTCTAGAATAGCGGCAAACCATCAGGCTGACTCTAATGGTTGATGAAACCAGGAAGGGAATAAAGACTTGTTCTCATACATCAAAGTTCACTGTCTTTTTATATTGATCCAAATCATTTGGGGAAGCTTGCATAATAATCAGCAGATCCTTAATTACCATTTGAAAGACAATTTCATTAAATTTAAAAACAAGTAATTTCCTCTTGAATGAATACAGGAGTAAGCTTAATAAAAACTGGTAGAAGACAGTAATACATATTGCCTGACCTAATGCAAAATTTGACATAGAAGGAAAAGTGATGAATTTTAGAAACAATTCTACCAAATCGGTAAACTAAGTCTACCTAATTGGTAAACTGTGATGTCTTCCTGACCATTCCAATCTATTTATCTCCTTTCAACGATTCCTATAGCATTTGTTGATTCCCTTTACTCTGCATTTAATTAAAAATGTATTGAGTCTCCAGATTTCATAACCTGAGAACACATCACCTATGCAGTTTTCTGGCCTAGATTGTGTAACCTCAACTTAATTACAAGGAAACACTGGACAAACAGAAAACGAGGACGCCTCTATAAAAAAAAGGGGAGGAGGGATACACTGTACTCAAAAATGTCAATATTAGAAAACAAAAAAGGAAAGCAGGACAGAAGACACACGACTATATACCCTGTCCTATTCGTAGGCTGTACCCTGTACTGGAGCGGGGTAAAGGACATAAGCAGCAGGGCGCCTGGGTGGCTCAGTTGGTTAAGCGACTGCCTTCGGCTCAGGTCCTGAGGGATTGAGTCCCGCATCAGGTTCCCTGCTGAGCGGGGAGTCTGCTTCTCCCTCTGACCCTCCCCCCTCTCATGCTCTATCTCATTCTCTCCAATAAATAAATAAAATATTAAAAAAAAAAAGGATATAAGCAGCAGCACTACCACACCCACTGCTCTGCGGCAGACAGCCTCTCCTCTGCTGTCCTGCCTGCTGCTACTTTGCAGTGTATTCAATCAACTTCTACCTCCTTTAGGGGGCGCCTGGGGGGTCCAGGGGGTCGAGCGGCTGCCTTCGGCTCAGGTCACGGTCCCACCATCCTGGGATCGAGCCCCGTGTCCCCGTGTCGGGAATCCCTGCTCAGCGGGGAGCGTGCTTCTCCCTCTCCCTCTGCTGCCCCCACCAGCTGGTGCATGAGCACGCACACGCTCTCGCAAATAAAATCTTTAAAAAACAACAAAACAAAAAAACCTTCTATTGCCTTTAAAAACCAAAACACAAAACACCATGCACACCCACACACAAATACTATCAGATCAAATGACAGGACATTTAGATGGTAGATTAGGTGTACACAAGAGTACACTCACAAGCAAATGGGGTAAAATATAAAATATTAAAATAGTAGGGGCGCCTGGGTGGCTCAGTCGGTTAAGCATCTGCCCTCTGCTCAGGTCATGATTTCAGGGATCCTGAGACTGAGCCCCATTGGGATCCTGGCTCATTGGGGACTCTGCTTCTCCCTCTCCCCTGTCCCTCCCCCCAGTTCCTGCTCTCTGTCTCAAATGAATGAATAAAATCTTAAAAAAAAATCATAATAGGTAAATCTGAGTAAAGGGGATACAGATGTTCTTTGTACCACTCTCATTTTTGCTGAAACGTGTTATTCTTAAAAACTGTGGTAAAACATAAAATTTACCAATTTAACCATATTTTCTTTAAACAAATACAAAAAATTAAAGGAGATGTAACACCCAGCCTTGGAGGGCCAAAACATGGGTGGATATGACATCATAAACTGAGACTTCATTTTTTCCTGGAAATCACCAGAGTCAATGGAAAACATTCCCCAACTCCTATTTACCAGTTTGTGTATCTATCAAGCTATCACCCAGCGTGCTTTCTTAAGGCCTTGGCATTCTCTGTGAAGAGCAGAGCAAGACTATTCACTAATGAAACTCCTGAGATTCTCAAGTACTTGTTTGACTGACCCTTGCAGCTTTGTGCCTCATCAGCTGGGACCTAATTTATGAACTGGTGGACTTGATTCCCCACTGGGAGGACTACTAGCAGTTTTGCAGCACCTGAAGAGGTGCTTCACTTTACTAACAAGCATATCAAACAATCTGTTTATAGTAAGAGAGTTGTTGACATGAATGTCAAATGGTTGGCCTTCAGTACATAGGGAGAAGAAATGGGAGAGTTCTTTAAACTGTACTTCAGTAATCTCAGATAAATAAAATGGGGCAAAGAGGGATGGGGGAGAGTGATAGGCTGGGGATAAAGAGGGGGATGCAAAAAGACAAGAAAGGGAAATCATCATAAACATTGTTTTATTCAGAAATAGAATTTCACTTGCAACCTCTGTAAATGTGTATGTATATTCATATACAGCCTAACATGAAAGAAAGGAATGGTCTAGATTTCTCAATTATTGGCTGGTTCTCTCATACATTACTTCCTTTGTCCATCCCTTAAATACATGAGCATCTACTATGAAAAAATACTATGCTAGGTCTTGGGAATAAAAGGCAGAACAAACGTGAGACAAATATGCCTTTAAGGTTTTATCTGCAGTTAAGGATAATGGAAACTCAATGAGGAGTTTTAAGCAGGAAAGTTCACTCTGGCTGGGTGTGGGACAAGCAGAAGAATAGATTTAGGGAGGAAGAAGGCTGTTAACAGTAGCATATGCAAGAGCGATGATGAAAGCCTGACCTACGGTGGTAGCAATGGAGATAAGTGCACAAATTTGAGGAACAAAATTTATGGTATAAAATCAATAGCTCCAGGTGGACTGGATAATGGGGTAAGAAGTGGGAGATGACTTTCAGATTTCTGACTAGAGAGATTAAAAAAAAAATATTTATTTTATTTTAGAGAGCGCATGCATGCGAGAGCGTGCGAACATGAAAGCGGGGGTGGGCGGGTAGAGGGAGGAGAGAAGCAGACTGCCCCATTCAGGGCTCGATCCCATGTCCCTGAGATCATGACTTGAACCAAAATCAAGAGTTGGACACTTAACCAACTGAGACACCCAGGGTGCCCCTAGAAGGGCTTTTGATACCACTCATGGGGAGAGAAAACTTCTGGAAGAGAGCTCATAGGTCAGGTTTTGGACTTAGGTTAAAATGGATGAGACATTAAAATGGATACTGAATAAGCAATTAGATATTGCAAGTCTGGAGCTAAAAGAGGCTCTCAGCTTTAAATGTCTAACCTTCCAGTTCTATGAGGTAGACATTTCTTTCCTTCATCTACAAATAAGAAAAACCCTAAATAAGTTCAGTAGCTTGGCCATGAATATCCAGGAGAGATTTGGGATTCAAAGCCAAGGTGGATGGCCTACAAGGTTCAAGTGTTTTCACTGCTATTGAACTTATCACTTTGTATCTCATATACAGCAGTCTTCAAATCTTAATTTCCTTATTTCTTAGCTCTCTGAGGTCACGATGCATGTCTGATTTATCTTTTGCCTTTACAGTACCCAGTTCAAGGCTCTGCATCTTGCAGAGTGTTCACTAAATATTATTTGTTGATCAAATCAAGGTTTGTTTATTTTCAAAAAATAAAATGAAAATCAAGTTTGCCTCCAAAAGGTAAGGGCTCCTATTCTGGCCATGTGGTACGCAGCTAGGAGAACCAGAAGACCAACTGAAGGGTTCTGGAGTAGCTGTCCCCTTTGCACACACATTCTCTCCCAGCATTATAGCTTCCTCTGTTAAATAACAGGGCCACAGTTAAGATTTGTCTTTTTCTCCCCACAAGAGTTAAAACTAAGAGAATACTGGAGAAACCTTATTTTAGCAATTTTTATAAACAGCTTATTTAGAAATTAGGTAAAGTGTCTGAGTCCTAGATATCCTGAAGGTCAATTTTCCTATCCAGTGTTTATAATACAAGGATACCTTAAGAAAATCTGACTTACAGAAAAAGTATTAACTTTCCCAATAATTCCCACTTTAAGTGACCTAACTTCATCCTTACTGCTCTCATGTAATTGCATAAAAGGAGGTTAATGATTTCATATGACTACCTCTACCTAAAAAGCCTTCAGACTGACTCTGAAGACATGGCTATATTTTGTTTCTTCAATGCTCAGCCTAACAGAAGCCAATTAATCAAAAATTTTGTCAATAAAATTTTCCCTACTAAAGTCAGACCACACCTACAACTAAAGCCAGTTATACAGGTCTGTTTGACCTATTCTTTAATAAAATGCAAGGGAATGAAAACTCCATCTAACCATAAGGTTAAAATGTATACTGCCAAAATCATATTTATCAACATAAATGGAATACAGAACTAATTAATTTCAATAAAAACTCCTCTTGCCCTCAACAAATCTCCCCCTCTAATCTCTTCTACTCCGTATCTCTGTTTTTCAATCTAGCAACTCAAAAGAAAATTAGAGGCTTAGTAAATGGTCCAATACCAGAAAACCGCATGTCCGATTAATCATTTGTGCCAATGTATTTTTATAGATGAATTCCCTAGTGGAACCAGAAAAGATTATTCTCAAACTTTAAATTTAAAAAGTTAAGTCCAATTTCAAACATTAATACGGTTATATTAGTTCTTTTCACCCTAATGTTTATTAGGGTCTCTATCTTA